TTTTTATTATCTGTAAAATTTAAATATATTTATTTTTTTAGAACATTAATAAAATTATATAATAATTATTAATAATATTATGTAATATTAAATAACTATTGCTAATTATTTATAAATATTATAATAAAATATTAACCATCATCAGCTAAGCGTTCACGTAATTCTTGTTGCAATCTTTCATGGCGATCTTCAAGTTGAACCTCTTGAGCTCGTACTAAAAGCTCTTTTTCATATCGACGCAATTCTGTACGTTCTTTCATAAGGTCAAACCACTCTCTGAGTAAATCTGCTTCTTCTCGATCGGAGCATTCTAAATATTATAAGTACATTTTATTTAAGCATTCGAAAAAAATTTTTATAATAATAATATTTTTTGTAGTATAAATATTTTATATTTTATAATATATATAATATATTTTATAATATTGTATAATATCATAATGTATAATAATTTATGGATTCTTACCACCTTCTCCACGAAGAGCTTTTTCAACGCTAACACCTCTGCTTTCCAATTCTCTTTGTTTAACTTCTGTTTCTTCTAATTTTCTTTGTATTTCTTGAGCCATACGCAATCTTTGGAATATTTTTAATTTTTTTTTTTAATTATAAATTATTAAATTATTTTATAGCAATATAAAATTTTTTTTTTTATATACCTTTTTAATTGTGCTTGTCTAGCTATTCGTTTCGTAGTTTTTGTTTTACGTGAAATACTATTACATGAACCTTCTGTTATTGTGGCTTTATGTATGCATGATGTCGATACTGCTGTTGTTTTTGTATCATCATCTGATAAACTATCATCTGTTAAAAATAAAACGAAATATAAAATATGAACTTTTATATTTTATAATTTTTATTTTCATGTATCTGTTACAATAATTTATATTTTATAAATAATACCTGAGATTTGTGTAGTAGGAATACTGTAAATAAGGGGTGGCGGTGGAATTGGCGGCGGATTTTCATTTAAAAAGTTTCTTGTGAGCATACCTTCGCAAACACTTTTTGGTCTAGCGTTCATTTTCGGTGATAAGACTTTATCAAGCTGAAAAAGAAAATATATTGTAGTAATGTTTTCCTTACAATAGTGTTTGATAAATACAAATAAATATTTCATTTCTTAAATTAATTAATTTATCTTAAATAATTAATTTTAATATTGAAGAGAAAAATTATAATAAAATCCGTAACTATTGAAATACATTGATTAAGCTTATATTGAAATTATATGAAGATGCAATTACAATATACATAATATATAAATATATTAGTCTACCTAAATATAGTGAATAATAATTATTTAGTAATTTAATAAATTAATTGATAAATTAGCGGTTGATTTATACATTGTTGAAATTTAATATGAAATTAGAATATTAAGATCAAATATACTACTCATCCATCTACTTTACTTTACAACAATAGTTTTTTAATATCTATACATATATGTATTATAAAATAAAGAATGTCTTAAAACTATGAGAATATCGATTAACTAAAGATTCTTAAAATAATTTCAAGCAATATTTTTCTTTGCAGAAATTTTCGTTACGGCTTTGTGTACAAGTTATTAACAAAAAATAAAAATTCAAAATTGTGGTATGAAAAATCGAATATAAAACTTTTTTAATAAATAAGTGATAAATAATATATATTTGAAGAAGGAGATGTATAAGAAGATGATAAAGGATAAGTGGAAGAGAAAATTTGATAAAAGAGGGAAGGAGAAGAAAAAAAAAAGGAGAAGATGGGGATAAAGATAATGTGGAAGAGGAGAAGCCAGCGTTTTTTGTTAATAACTTATACAATAACTTACAAATAATTTTTTGTTAAAACTATAACGAAAGTTTTTACAAAGAAAAATATTGCTTGAAATTATTTCAAGAATTTCCAATTTTAATCGATATTCTCACATTTTTGGAACATATGTATTAGAAACAAATTAATTAAAGTTACACACTAAAAAAAAAAAAAAAAAAAAAAAAAAAAAAAAAAA